CTATCAGATCCAGACCTGATGACTATGGGAGTATGGGACCCCCTGGACAGTGCACCCTTTCAAACAAAAAAAGAATTTTCCAAATCGGTCCAGGCGTCTCTGAGTAATCGGTGAACATACATAAAAAATAAAAAAAAACATAAAAGTTCGCGATGAATTGAGAACCTCCTCCGTTTTTTTCGTTGGTTAAAAATAGTTTTTACTTCTGTAAACGCACAAAAAAGTCCACTAGTTTATTTTCTTAGTTGTTTTGTCTTTGGGCGGTAACCCTTTGACCACCTTGTATATTTGATATTTACAATGTCCTCCATCATTCCAGAACTAGGCGAGCGCGACACCCCATCTCCAGCGCGACCGCTGCCGCCGGCCACCTCCTGCAACTGCGAGGAGCTGCTGACGGTGGACTGTCAGCTCGAGACCAAGGAGCTGTGGGACAAGTTCCACGACCTGGGCACCGAGATGATCATCACCAAGACCGGCAGGTGAGTGCAAGAATATCAATCTGTGCAAACACCATTGTGTAGCCACGACCTGCGCACTGACATGACCAACACATCAAGACTAGCAGGTGTCTGCTGCGTTTAAGCTACATAAGTGTTACATGACGTGAGGTTTACCGGTCGGCCCATACCTAGTTCCATGTCGGTGCCCAGGTCCCAGGTCGTGGGACCTGGGCACCGACATGAACATCAAGATGACAAAGACTAGCAGGTGAGTGCTATATTTAAGCAAAATTACATGTTATGAAGTTTACCTGGCCATCATCTCGAAATGCTAGATCACACACTACGCCGAGATTGCTACACCCATTATGAGCCATCGTAAACGGCCATCGTTTACTTAACCACACTACACTCTCGAATGATAAACAGAATTTAACAGACAGAACAGAATGTAAGAATTCTTTACCCTTAATAGGGCCGAAAAACCAGCTTTTATACATGGCACCGATAAAAACACGCTATGCCACAGACTACAATGATTCTACGATGCCTGATGTGACTTAAATAGGTAGATAGGTACATAAATGTAACAACATCCAGATTTTAAAAGACCTACCTAAGTATTATACTTAAAAGACGCTTTGAGTAAGAAAACAAATAAATTTTCTTCGACTTTATTATCCAAAACCAACAAGCTTTACAAAGAAAGTTTCGCGTTGAAATCGCGTAATGAATTACGTGGAATAGCTCATCAGTGTAATGAAACCTTTCACTCTAACAGTATCCGAGTCAAAAACAAATTAATTCACTCCACAATCGCCCCCGAACAAGGGGTTGAGATGGATTCATCAGGCAGAGTGGCCAATTTCGGAATAATTACTCCGCGAACCGGCCGTCCTTCAACCCTTTAACGAGATAAATTAAAAGTACATTTTTCCCTAACCGGCGGGGTAATGCCGGCTATAAATTCCCAAAGCCCCAAAGACAACAAACGGCGTGAAACGAGGGGTAGGGAGGGGAAAGATGTTTTTATAGTCACGCCGAGAGGTTTATCTAAATAATTGCGTGCTCGGCGGCGGCGAGCGGAAAATTGGCATTCTATCGTGACGCTAGGGGACAAAAGATCAGCTTAGGCGCATAAACCTAGTATTATACCTATTATACTGTAATTGCGTTTAGTTTTATATCTACAATGGATCTCAAATGTTGTAATTAGGTGCAAGGCTAGCATTACGGAACGGAATAACGCTTGCAAATATTTCCTGAAATGAAATCTGATAAGAGTTCTTCTTTCTAGGTATTATTCTAAATTTCAATCTTTATAATGAAGTGCTGAAATCCATTTCTTAAGTAAAACAAAGTCTTTTGACGTTACTCGCAGCTTCTCATATCTCACTCTCACTCTTATTGGCATGGCACTGTGATTCTATAACAAGTCTTTAAAATTAAAATAGATATAGGTACGTGTATAAATAGGTATACGTGTTTTGCTTATTTTATTTTATAAGCATCATAAGAACCGAACAGTTAATTTACACAAGAATAATCTTTATGAGCATATTTTTATTCAATAATGACAATATTTACAACCTGATAGAGCTTAGCGATTAAATTACATCTTGTTCTCATAGGTAGACCTAGGAACAAGTTTTGAATAAATTCATTGCAAATAATAATAACTAAGTACATTTTCATTTACCACAATATCGCCTCAGGACAAAAGATCAAAGAGCAAATAGAATAAAAAAAAAATCTAATTAGCTGTCCAAACAATTTAATATGGCAGGTAATTATTTCTTTTGCGAGTCCTACCTAAGTTTCATCTATGTTTTTCAGGAGTGGACTTTCTGATGGCTGAGTTTTAAATGCAAATAGAGGGTTAAAAAACTTGTGACACAATGAAGTTAACCTTTATTTCAAAATGGTTTCTGGTATCCATATTCACTATACTATAATATTGTTTTTCATAGAATAAAATAGTGACCAAATAAAGCGTACCTACATAAAAAAATACTTCCAATGTTTATACAGACAGAAACAAGTGCATTGAATGTCTTTAATCCGCATATTAGTCTCGTGTCATATGGTTATTGTGATCCGACTTTCGAGGGAGGGTTGTGTTCGCAACAAGTGCAGTTAGTCTAAATCACTGTATCAGTGTTCCGGAGAGAGTCCACCCTCTGGGGAGACTCTATTTGTAACACTCTTTGAAGTGTAATCTGACTAAAGTAATTTGATATTGCAATTTTTTAGGTTTGTCTGTATTATACAGGGAGTAACAGAAAGGGTATTACAAGCCGAAAGGAGGTGAAGGTACTCATGAAACTGAACAACTTTCCCCATGGAACATGGGTCAAAAAATTAAAAAAAAATTGGAGCACCCATAGTAAATTAGTCAGCTGATCGGCGATTTTGTATGTGAGGTCCAAATTTTTTTTATGTTTCGACCTTCAGTTTCATGAGTACCTTCACCTCCTTTCGGCTTGTAGTACCCTTTCTGTTACTCCCGGTATATAATATTGTAACTGTCACTTTCAATTAAAACGGAAACACGTCATAGAAAATATTGAGTAGGTAAGTAGTACTTCACGTTGCCATTACTTAGATACTATTCCAACAAATCCACCTTCCCATTTAAAGGACCAACTTGTACTGGTTTTTCATATACTAAATAATAATACTAAAAAAAACAAGTGTTAATTGATCCCTTAAATGGTGGATTTGCTGGCGATAGTACCTACATCTAATACTTGTTTTACTTTTAGGCAAGTAACTTATTTCTGACTGATCCTTAATTTTTTTATACGAAAAGCATTTATAACCGCTAGTAGGTACGATAAGGATCTTAGCTACACTTTTATACAGCATTTAGCATTTCTAACCGTTTTCACATAATTATTAAAAGCAAAATTTATCTACCTACTTATCTACAAATGGATTAGTTAAGTATCCAAATTACATTAAAAAGTTAAATTAGAATACAAATGAGTGACAAGCCACCGTACAATAATGGCTGACATCTTTGAACCCGCAGTGAGGTCGGCTGTGGAATTTCTATTAGCATAACTTTACATTTTATTAGTGCGCTCCGAAGTATTTGTTTTAATAATAAAAGTATCAAGATCATGTTATCGTCGTATACGGGTCTAAACAAGAGATAAATCAACCCGTCCAATCAAAATGGGATATCAGAGGACAAATTTTGTTGGGGTGTGTGTTGTTGTAGCGTGTTTTCAAATTGCTTTACAATGTATTATCTATTAATTTTTTGTTGTGCCTATTTATTTTCTATCTATCTTGTGATAAATTAATTTATGTTCGGTTTTGATTTTATCGCAAAACTAATTTGCAAGCTACTTGATTTGTATTCTAATTTAGTTTGATATGTCACTTGGGCAGCATCGTAACTAGTCTTGTTAGATATTTTTATCAATGTTAGTAGGATAGGAACTTATTTTGACTAATTATACCTAAGTAAGTTGTTTCCGAAACACAACTCGATAACAAGTTTAAAAAAACTTTCAATTCAGAAAGAAGAAGTGCTTACCTACATCTGTCCTTCCTTAAGCATAAATCTAAACACAAATTGGAAACTTCAAAACTTACAAACTGTTTAAGTTAACAAAAACGACCAGTAGTCGTAAAGCGTATTACTGTGCTCATTTTTATGACAAACTTAATATGAAAACATAAACTGGCCCCTTATCTCCGGACATCCCGTAATACGCTGTATCTTTTTTTATTGCGATGCACAATCCGTTCCTTTCTAAATCCGACGTGACGTCATTTATCGATAACAGAATTATCGATATAATCCCCCCACTAAAATTTATTTTCCTCCAATATTTTATAAAGACGCATCGGCATTAATCCGTAAGCAAAATAAAACATCTATTGGGATTGTAATGCACTCACAGTGCTATATTATTCTCACAAGTGAAAATAAGAAAATAGAAAAGATGACGTACATCGACCGGGAATCGAACCCGGGCCGCATGGGTAAACGCCCCACCGCTCTGCCACTGAGCTATCGATGCACGGCCGATGGACGCCAAATTTTCTATCTCTTGATGCTCGTCTCCAAGCGACGATCCAGCGACATCTATAGTAAGTATTTAGAACTTACTACATGGTTAGTCCACATTATGAGTGGAATTCAAACCATATGATGAAGCTTGCTTAATCAATCTATTGGGATTGTAATGCACTCACAGTGCTATATTATTCTCACAAGTGAAAATAAGAAAATAGAAAAGATGACGTACATCGACCGGGAATCGAACCCGGGCCGCATGGGTAAACGCCCCACCGCTCTGCCACTGAGCTATCGATGCACGGCCGATGGACGCCAAATTTTCTATCTCTTGATGCTCGTCTCAAGCGACGATCCAGCGACATCTATAGTAAGTATTTAGAACTTACTACATGGTTAGTCCACATTATGAGTGGAATTCAAACCATATGATGAAGCTTGCTTAATCAATCTATTGGGATTGTAATGCACTCACAGTGCTATATTATTCTCACAAGTGAAAATAAGAAAATAGAAAGATGACGTACATCGACCGGGAATCGAACCCGGGCCGCATGGGTAAACGCCCCACCGCTCTGCCACTGAGCTATCGATCCATCGGCCGTGCATCGATAGCTCAGTGGCAGAGCGGTGGGGCGTTTACCCATGCGGCCCGGGTTCGATTCCCGGTCGATGTACGTCATCTTTTCTATTTTCTTATTTTCACTTGTGAAAATAAAACATATTATTACAGACGTGTTTAAATAACATAACAACTGTTGATAAGCTATTATAGTCAGCGTAGAAATTTGTTGTTTATAAGTAGTATCAAGTATAACCACTGTAAGCCGATTATTGGAATTTAAAGTACGAATGAATAGTGTAACATGATACCTGTAACATCGATAGCTGGTGGGCGCGAAATGGCGCGTCACTAGAGCTGCCAGAGAAGTGTCGGTCTTGTCTCGATTTGTTTATTTTTCATTTTTTCGATTCGTCGTTTTGATTTACACGCGCCCAGTTTACTGCCGAGTGACTTTGTTAGAGGTAACCGGCCACGATTTATGCCGGACCCATCGATACAATGACTTGACCAAAAATATTCGGGTGTGAAACTCCTTAAGTCCATAACCTGAGCTTTTTATGTCGGTCCGTCGCATTATAATGTTAACAACGTTATTGCAACGTCTCGTGTGGTTTGCTGTCGATCCGTAAGCTGCTCGCTGAAATGCTAAGCCTCGTTCTTATGGGAATATTTTAAGGTAAAAACTGTAGCTATTGGATTAAGTGAGGATAATTCCTCATTTAATAAAAGTACGCGTTTACTTTCACAGACTCGAGGGAGCCACAGGAGGTGAACCGAGAAATTAGATATGGACGTGAAGATGTAATCCTATAATGAGTTTTTATCGCTTTCTTCTGGTGTCGGTGTCCGAGGGCGGGTTGTACGTAAATTGTTCGTATCCGCAATTTGAGCGATCGCCGGCCGTATTAATGGTTTTTATCGGTTTTTAATACCGTGCCAATTACGGACCGGTGTCTGCGGACGTGACGGCCATGTTGGATCAGACATCAGACATCAGACGTCGGGAGACGTTGGTTCGTGCATCACCGATAATGTCATGCATCATAAGTTGGTGCATATCTACCTGTACTTTTCTGGATCTTCAATGGGATTTCAAATTATGATTTTCATTTATATATGTCTTCAAAAGTAATCGGAGCTGTGCTGGTGTATTTTTGCCTATACAGTACAAAGATGGCACAGTTGCCCAGATGAATAAAAAGTATATCAAATAATACCCTTTCTCAATATAATATGCTTAACAAAATCTTATGACTTCCTCATTGTTATTTTCAAGGTATTTTATAAAACTTTATTCCGTGTAATTAATCAACTAAAAGCCTTCGTGTATTATGCAAAATAATGATTAATCTGATGGACTCCGGTCAACATTTTACAAAGTTTACGCAAAGAACTGCACTGGCATGTTCGCCTCAGGGTGCACAAGTAACCTCTCGATCGAGTAGGCAATACAATTACTCATTTGAATATCGAACCAAGATGTACGGTTCAAAAGAATGTTCCTTATCACCTGGTGTTTCGGGCTACTCCCACCTCACCCAGCTCCTTTGTACCGCGCACCAAAGGTGTTGACCGTTACAAAAAATACAAAACTTATGGCATTTAACAAACAATATTTAGTGCCGTTTTGACAGTTATTGTAGTCAATGATTACCTTCGATTATGAGTGGTTATAGCTGTTTTTGCCCCGCACGGGCGAGCCGGTGCTGCAACCAACAGGTGCCTGGAAGTCCTATAAAAGTTGTATTTTATAAGATTACCGACTGTTGCGCCGTAATAGTCGACTAGTGGCTATAATTTTGCCTTACTCTTTCAAATTTGGAATTTAACCGACAGTCAAATGTCAAAAATATGATGATTGCAACGGCAGAAAATGTCGACGGTAGCAAAAGCATGTTTCTATTAATTGTTTTCTCAGCAAAACAAGTCCATGTAAGGTAGGTATGTGTTTCATGCAACAAATTGAATAAAGTCCGAGTCAAATGAGGTCGTCAAGGAATGCAACGGTGTACATTTATTGGGGGGTAGTTGTAAAGGGGTATTATCGTCGTCGTCATAACATTTTGGGGTATAAAATGCATCGGCAGCAATAAACAAGTGCGAAGTCGGCCAACCTCGACTTAGTTCCGTAATCGGTTTTAATAAATCGGTTTTCGTCCCCCCGTTCCCCCCTCTAGTGGGGTAGAGCGGGGGTTTCGGACATGTGCATTAAAGTTAATTGAAATTTTCGAGGCTACGTGTTACTTTGCGCTAATGCACCTTTCAGTCCGTACAGGCGTGCAAGACGTGTTACTTAGCTTCCATATATAAAAGAGTTCAACGCACGACAATCCACAATTCACAATTTCCTTTGGTAATATGTCTATTTCGTTTTTAAAGCTATCAGCGTAATGAAGTTAAGTAGTTGATAATGTTGCCATAAAATAAATATAAAGGTACATAATATTTTCTGTTTAACTTTCATTAGTTTTTGCAATTGCCGATCGCCGCCCTTATCTTCTTAAGACTAATAAAGTTAATTAACAACAGTAGCTTTATCGACGAAAAGTAGATTTTTTATTAATAAAAGCGTTATGATAACGCAAAGTGACTTTAAAATAACTTATGATTCACAGTTATTCCCATTGAAGATAGCGTTTAATATTCGTATATTGCGATGATAAATGTTGACCGAAGCCAGCTACTGGTCGTGTCGTTCTCAATGGCGCGAAATGAAGTGAGTCGACAATGGTGCGCCCACGCTGCGCAGGCGCAAGACGCGATTCGCGCCGCAACTGTCACTGTCAGCTACCGAACGATTGTGCGCTCCGTCGAGGCTCCGTGCAACGAATTTGATTGTAAGATTTATTCCAAATTTGAAACGGGGAATTGTATTTTCTGACGAAGATAAGGGATTAAGGAAGATTGACGTTAATTTAGTGGCAGGAGTTGTCGTGATTTTGGTTAGCGGTTGGAAAGGTGAGTGTGAGTGCAATGCACCATCCTCATCATGATCAAATTGACATAGGTATAAGTAATGGTTGCCAATTTGATAACTACTTAGAATTTTTGGAGAAAGTAATTAATAAGGACAGTTCTCAAAAAATTGGCCGCAAGATTTCATTTTTGCATGTTTTTAAAAAGTTCGTGTTTTCGCGAAAAAAAATATCTTGCTAGCTAGATTAATGGTTCTTTATTACATATTTAGTGGAGGGAAGCAATTTTTTTCATTACTTCAGGAAATATGGGCAATCTAAATTACGAGGGGGGCAGGTGAACGACAATGTCGCCAGGTTAAGGACAATAGGTGCAGGTTAACGACATTTTAGTACAAATTTACTAAGTAACGTCAGCAGGTTAACGACTACGGGTACGGGCTGTAATTGCTCAGCAATAAAAACACAAAATACCTAATCATTTAGTAACTTAAATTCGTACAGCACACATATGAACATTTTTGCACTTCAACTAAATCAAACTTTTAATAAGTATTATAAGTTATCTCTATGAACAATCAATGTTTTTTAGAAAAACCCTTCTAAAATTATTGTTTAATAAATTTAGGACTACTTTTATCAAATTAGTAAAATATTAAGCAATGAATTAGATCATTTATTTTATATTATTAATTACACATTTGTATGATAATTGTCGCTAACCTGCTATTTGGTCGTTCACCTGCATTTTTGTGACAGGTGAACGACCGGCAGGTTAACGACTAAATAGCAGATATTTCATCATCACAGGAAAACCATTTTGTGCAAGGATTGCTCACTTAGACACATTAAAGCAAACACTATTTTACACATTATAACTTGAAATGAGTGCAACGGGTAGCATAGTTTTTTACATAAAAGAGGCATAAAAACGACTACATACCCGTTACAAACTCCAGAATCCGATATATAGCTCGCCTTTTCTCCGGAAACTGAACAACTGACAAGGCCTTCTCTCAGCAGATGTTTGCTGGTGAATTGCTGGTTCGGGTGTTGCAGAGTGAGACGGGAGAGATGAAGTGGTACCCGCGGTACGATCGTGTTTTCACTTTTGCAGATTAACGACAAAAATGTTCGTACAAAACTTTAAATTGTATTTTATGTTATGAATAATGAATATTAGGTTATAATATCGTGTGATTCTTCTTCTATGGATATACGTAAGTAGAAACGTTTGGTAGAATATTTTATTTTGCACATTAATATATTTTTGCAATGCTTAAACATAAGCACATCGTGAAAAGACACGCAGGTTAGCGACCAAATATACGTAATTTTTTGAGAAATGGCCATAACCATTTAAAAACTTGTTATTTTTACAAGAACTTTACAGATCATTGATCATTAAGTATATTTGGAATTGATGCGACTTTTTCCTGTCCTTACTCAACACAATTAAAATGACATGAAATCGCTTACACATAACAAGACCTTATCTCTTCAACCCGACGTTGAGAAATCTCCACAAGTATAATTTCGTACACAGATACCTACAATACGAATTACCCAAACCGCTTCGAAGAAAACGGTGCAATTTTTCATCATAAACTCTTTAAAAGCTAATTTCGATCTCGATGAGAAGAGGGTCGGATGAAGGAGAGTCATCATCAAGAGGGTGGTCATTTAACAGCCATTAACGCCTAAACATAATAAGCCGCGTTAAATAATTACGAAAAAAGGTGTAAAAGGTTGAACAGAGAGTTGCGCCGGAGTCGATGAAAGGCTGACGGATGCCGACGGAGATTGATTACGTAATCATGGACATGAAGCGATTTCGGGAATCTCATAGAGAGTAATCATCATTCATCTCACGGCTCGTTGACGGCGTATTGAAGAGATGATAGCCATCATGGAAGTTTTTTAACCGAGTAATTTAGGCAAAGGTCATTCGAGATTTCGAAAGGTGCACTGATTGCACAGGAGTTTTGTTGGTTTATTCTCTATTCGAGTGGAATCCTCTACAATACAGTCGTAATCATCTGAAATGATGATAGTAGAGCTTACTATTGGCTGCTATGACTTAAGCTTCTTTAGTATACGAGTATTACACCGGTTA